CTTTCATTGTTTTCCAGGGCAGAATGTTTAGTACAAGCCAGTACAGTGGAGCAAGACTCACTGGAAAAAATAGCTCAGGTTGTCATGAGCCACTCTGTAACTCCTAGGCTCTAGAAAATTCCAGTAGTGTTACACTGGAAGTGGTGGGATTACACCTACGTCTCGCTTCTTATGCAGACCTTTCACGTACACGCAGTGACCACGCACGTGGGAAGTTCAAAAGCATCGGTGGGATTACCAGCAACTGCTGAAGTCTTGCCCTGCGCAAGCTGTGCAGGGAGCGGCCCATGCCCGCTCGCCTGTCGGTAATAAACTGGCACAAAACAGATCACTTGCGTGTCTTGACCATCCAGTCTGCTATAGGTTTGCCTGGTTACTAACGTCCCAACCTTTTTTCCCTGGTGATGACAGATTATCCACCATGTAGTTTTTAATCAGGTGGAGTGGGCACCAGTTAAGGCTGTCTACTTAAGCTGTTTAAGGACGTTTCCCCAACATGACTTCTGCCTTGTCATTCCCAGGACCTCAAAGAGCTGTGGAAAGTAATATTAACATGCTAAAGGAAACAAACTTTCTCAGTATACTATTTCTCAGTAACCTAGTGAAAGGCTGAACAATGCTGTTTTATTGCCAAAGAAAATGTGCATCTCTTTCATGACACTGGTGTTAAAAGGACCCACTTAGCATGGAGGGCTTACCAGCAACACCAGGAAATGCATTACGTTAGCATAATGTTATATAAATGATTTCTGTCCTCTGCCAAGCTGGCAATTTAGTAAGATGTCAAAAATATGCACAGACAGGCTTTGTGCCTTGAATCCCTGCTCTTACAGCCCAATATTCCCACCAAAAGCCAGTCTCTGAAATAATGAGATGCTTTAGACCCTGGCTACATAGTGAACTTCCCACCAGGAAACCCTAACTGGTGGCAGTAGCTGCCCCCAAAACAGCACAAGGGAAGGAAGGCAGCATACTATCTTCTACTTCCAGATTGCAACTGAAACAGCAAATCCAGGAATACTGTACTGACCAAGGTTTGCAGCAGCATTAGAAGTGGGACGAGAATATGGTTTCAAATCTCTTTGGTCAAGGTCAACTTGTTTCTTGGTTCTTACTGCTACCTGTACAGGGTGTTGATAGGAACTGTTGGTGAGGACTTTGCAGACGTTCATGGGAATGTGGTGGGGTGATGACTTAGGGACCCAGAGCTTACAAAGGTGAGTTTGAGTGGTTTGGCTGAGCCAGTCACTCTCACAGAGGACTGCGTTAGCCCGGTGGGGAAGCACTAGCGGGGAGCTGTGCTGAAGCAATGAAGCGTGAGTCAGGTGGCTGAAATGGTCTGTTTTGATATTTTAAATAAGTAGAGGCTGCTGTTGTGAGGAGCTGTGTGTACAGACTGCAAATAGTCTCTTATCACAGTTGGAAATGTGGCGATTCACTGTGGTCACTGTGTTTCTACTACCACTTGTTTTCTTCCTTCTGACTTTCGGTACTCCTCCTTATTTCATTGGGCTTTTTGCTCCTGTTTCATCCTGGGCTTCAACAGTCCATGGCAGACAGTCGTGTCATCTTCTTTAGCCCCATACCCATGGCAGGTGGAAGAAATTCAGTCCCCTCAGCGTTGTTTGTTTCTCTTTTTCATCTGCTGAGCATCAGTGACCTGTATTTGTGTCTCCTGTAGATAGCCTGTCATAGGCTTGCAGCTGCTGGGGAGTAGATGCCGGTCCTAGGAGGCTGCCTGTCTGTCACTGGACTCCTGCTCTTCCTCCTGCTAGGCAGGCTGTGCATCTGTGGGTCAGAGAAGAATAATCAGGATTTGAAAGAGGTTCAAAGGAAACTTGGAACATAAAACTTGGCAACATCACCCAGGCAATTGGTGCTCGAATCTGACTCACTCCATTCTCTCGGGCGCTCTGCCAGTCTCTGCTGTGGCCTTTGCATATTTTCAGGCATAGACAAGTTAAAATACTAAAAAATATTTTGCAGTCTGCCACCATAAGCAGCTGAAAGATTGTGTGAAGCCCTTTAATTCAGGACTTTAAAGCATGGTAAGTACAGCCTTCTTTTTTCTTTTTTTCCCAATATCTGCAGAGAGGGCATTTCAGAGGTTCTGAACTCAGCAGGGCTCTACTTCCAGGCAAGGGCAAGAAATTTTTCTGGCATGTTTTTCAACAACTGCCCCAACTCCCCCCTTAAATAAGAATTCCCACATGGAAAATCCAGCTATGTCTGGAAATTTCATAGTTATACTTTAAATTTTCTTAAACTCTATCGTAGCTTAAAATAAAACATTGGATGACTAGAAAATATTCCTTCATCCATCTGGCAAAGCCAAAAACTTTGACCAGCACTGGCAGGAAAACGAGTAAGCAACTAGAAGAGCAGCTCTGGGGGCTGAAGAAACATTCCAAGCAAAGAAGTATGAGAGCCAAATGTACAAATGGCCCAAAGTTTATAATACTGACTCAGTAAGGCAGCCTCAACTGTAAACATATTGAAGAAGTGACCAATCAATACCAGTGAATTAAATTAACTTGAATGCATGGATTCAGCTTATAAAATTAGCAACAGCTTATCCCTGGCACAGAGTTGCCACAGCTAGTGAGCCATTACTGTAAGCATTTATTATTACCATAACATGGAGTAAAGGTAAACAGCACAGGGCTGCCCCATCAGTGGTGGAATAAGAGAGATGATGGTCAAAAAAACTGGAGTGCTTGGGAAGCACATAAAGCTGGTGAATATAGCTGGCAGCCTGTTAAAGGATAAGAGCAGGGGCATTCGTATTTACCAGATGGCTCTTGTACCTACTCAGGCAGGAACTGAAATTATTCTATTCTATTCTATTCTATTCTATTCTATTCTAAAGTTGACCAGCAGCACATGCTGCTCTTGAGATACTAACAGCCCGATAATGAATGGTGCCTCACTTCCAGGCCACTCTAATTTCACAGCAATTCTGGCTATTGCCATCACACTCGCATTTCCCATCTTTCTGCGAGGGAATGACCCCTTACTCCTGGTCATCCAACTCAACCCTACTGCCTGTCAACCACACATGCCTCCACAGGCTGTTGCATTACCTCCCTCCTCCCATGCCTTAGAACTCCCAGCTTTTCAGATTTTACCTGTTGAATGCAATGCACTCTCTGCTTCTTCTTCCAGCATCTTCTGTTCCTCGTTGCTGAGGTCCAGAGGTATTGGCTCTGTAGAATGAGCCAGAAGGTGCAGAGAATCTGGTGCAGTTCTTGAAAAAGATGAAGTTAAGGTCTTCCAGGTCACATGGCTTTTTATTGCTGCAGCTGATGCTTGAGTTGATATCCCATTTCTCCAGGCTCTCAGAAAACTGGCAAATCCTGTGGCTGCCTTACTTTTTATGTTCAGTGCATATCTGCTTGGGTATTTTCTTTGTTTCAGAGTACACTCAGGGAGCTGGTCTCCGTTTGGCAGAAAGTGCTCTTAGTAACTACTTCTTCTCTTACAGATTGATTATTCAACAGAAGTGGATGATGACTAGCACTAGTAGAGGGTAATGCCTGATATTTTAATGAGGATGCCGGCACCTGCTTGCTTAGATCTTTGTACTGTGAGATAAGTTAGCAAAGGAATAAGTACAGAGGGCGTACACCGACAGTGCCACCAAGTTCTGACAAATGGCCCTACCAAGCACACCTTGAAGTCCTGCTGGATACTGCTAGCTGATCATCACTGCCTAACAGCAAGACTCAGCTTCATGCAGCCTGTCAACCTTGCCAAAGTTTTGCTCACACACCTGACTGAAAGAGATCAGCAGCAAGTTTTGCCGCCAGGCGGGAGAGCCCTGGGGTGGACGCTGCCACTTAACAACCTGTTTAAAAAGTTATAAAAATTGCGTGGATGGGCATGATACCAGCCCAAGAGATTTAATCTCTTTTGCATCTTCTGTTGCACTTATAAATGAAATCTTAAGCCTACAGATTAACCAGTCTGAAGAACCGGCGAGGGAAGCAAATTAAAAGACTTATTAATTAGATGTGAAGTGACCTTACCTATTAAGGTATGAAATACAGCAGCTACAGCGCCAGCCACAACCATGCACAAAACTGCTTTGGTCCTGTCTCGCTTGCTGTTCACAAACACCAGACCTACATTTTTGAAGTCACTCATCGGACCCGTGAAGAATTTCATCAGGGAGTATGCCAGCCCGTAGCTGGCCAGCATTTCCACAGCATCTTCCTTGACAGCAGCAATGCCCCTATTCAAGGCCTGTTGAAACACAGAAAGAGCAAATAATGTAGCACAAGTGGAAGTGTACCAAAACCAATGTTCAGCAGCTGGTTTCTGAAGGAACAAGTGAGTTCAGATCTCATCGTTTTCACCCCAAGATAGACCTTATTTCTCTACGTTCAGCAGCAGTAACTTGTGACTTGTGACACAGGCAACTTCATAATTTCATACGGACAGTAAGTTCAAGTCAAGTAGACTTGAAGATAAAGTAAATATCTATTTCTAAAGTATATATTGGAACTCCTGCTAGACCAGAAGTCAGTCTCTTTCC